TTCCTGGCAAACCAAATCCAACAGCACATCAAAAAGCTTATTGATCACGGACAAGTCGGCTTCATCCCTGGGATACAAGGATGGCTCAACATACACAAATCTATAAACATAATTATTCCATCACATAAACAGAACCAAAGGCAAAAAACAAGTGATTATCCCAATAGATGCAGAGAAGGCTTTCAACAAAATTCAACAGCCTCTCGTGCTAAAAACTCTCAATACACTAAGTATTGTTGGAACGTATGTCAAAATAATAAGAGCTATTTATGACAAACCACACAGCCAATATCATCCTGAGTGGACAAAGGCTGGAAGCATTCCCACTGAAAACTGGCACAAGACAAAGATGCCCTCTCTCACCTCTCCTATTCATCATAGTGCTGGAAGTTTGGGCCAGGGTAATCAGGCAAGAGAAAGCAATACAGTATATTCAATTAGGAAAAGAGGAAGTCAAAATGTTTCTATTCACAAACAACATGATTGTGTGTTTAGAAGAACCCATTGTCCCAGACAAAATTTCCTTGCGCTGATAAGCAACTTCAGCAAAGTCTCAGGACACAAAATCAATATGCAAAAATTACACGCATTCCTATATGCCAATAACACACATACAGAGAGCCAAATCATGAGAAAACTCCTGTTGACAACTGCTACAAAGAGAATAAAATACCTGGGAATACAACTTACAAGGAATGTGGAGGACCTCTTCAAAGAGAACTATAAACTACTGCTCAAAGAAATAAGAAGGACACAAATAGAAAAACATTCCATGTTCATGATTAGAAAGCATCCACATTGTGAAAACCACGATATGACCCAAAGTCATTTACAGATTCAACGCTGTCCCCATCAAGCTACCATGGACTTCCTTCACAGAACTGAGAAAACAACAACAAAAACACACATTAAATTTCACATGGAACCAAAAAAGAGCCCACATAGCCAAGACAATTCTAAGCAAAAAAGAACAGAGCTGGAGGCATCACACTACCTGACTTCAAACCATCTACAAGTATACAGTAATCAAAACAGCATGATATTGGTACCAAAGCAGAGATACAGACTGACAGGACAGAACAGAGGCCTCAGAAGCAACACTACACATCTGCAACCATCTGATCTTTGACAAACCTGACCAAAACAAGCAACAGGGAAAGGATTCCCTATTTAATAAATGGTGTTGGGAAAACTGGCTAGCCATATGCAGAAAGCTGAAGCTGGATTCCTTTCTTACACCTTATACAAAAATTAACTCCAGATCAAGTAAAGATTCAAATATACAACTTAAACCATAAAAACCCTCAAAGAAAACTTAAGCAATACCATTCAGGACACAGGCATGGGCAAGGACTTCGTGACTAAAACACTAAAAGCAACAAAAGCCAAAATGGACACATGGAATCTAATTAAACTAAAGAGCTTCTGTGCAGTGAAGGAAACTGTCATCAGAGTGAACAGGCAACGAAACAGCCCAATGGGAAAAAAATTGTGTAGTCTACCCATCTGAAAAAGAGCTAATATCCAGAATCTACAAAGAACTTAAACCAATTTACAAGAAAAACAAAACAAAACAAACAAACACAAAGAAACAAACAACCTGATCAAAAAGTGGACGAAGCATATGAAAAGACACTACTCAAAAGGAGACATTTATGCAGCCCACAAACATATGAAAAAAACCTTATTTTCACTGGTCATTACAGAAATGCAAATGAAAAGCACATTGTGAGACCATCTTATGTCAGCACTGCAACCATCAAAAAGGGACAACAGGTGCTGCAGAGGATGTGGAGAAACAGGAACACTTTTACACTTTCAGTGGGAGTGTAAATTAGTTCAACCATTGTGAAAGACAGTGTGGCAATTTCTCAAGGATCTAGAACCATACCATTTGACCCAGCAATCTCTTTACTAAGTATATACCCAAAGGATTATAAATCATTCTATTATAAAGACATATGCACATGTACGTTTGTTGTGGCACTATTCACAATAGCAAAGACTTGAAACCAACCCAAATGCCCATCAATGATATTCTGGATAAAGAAAATGTGGTGAAGATGGCCGATTCGGAACAGCTCAGGATTGCAGCTCCCAGTGAAATGCAGAGTGTGAGTGGATCCTGCATTTCCATATGGATTTTTATTGCCCACAGATCAGGAGATTCCCAGGCGGAGGAGCCCTATGGGTCTCCAGCATGGCTGTTTTGGCTGGTGAGACTGTTTTGGCCTACACAGCTGCTTTGCCAGAGCCCCTGCGTGGCAGTTCTCCATACAAAATACACTGGATTGGAGACCTTTTTGCTGGAGATTGGAGCCCCAGAAAGGAGGAATCGCCCATTCATCTGATTAAAAACGGGACTGAAACAGGTTCCAGGCCAGGAGATTCCTGTACACAAAAAGTACCATGAATCTTGGCACCACTGTTTCAGCTGGCACAGTGAGTCACCACATGAGAAATCACACAGATCCCAGTGCCTTTTCAACAGGCGACTGGAACAGCTGGGAGAGAGTCGACTGTTCAACTAAAACAAAATGCTCTGAGGCATGGAGCCAGGTGATCAGGCTTGGCTGGTCCAACCCCACAAAAAAACAAAAACAAAAACAAAAAAACAAACAGCAATTGGAAACACTCTGGGTTGAGAGTTTCACAGCAAACACAGCTGAACCCGGACGGTCCGGCTCTGTGGGGGAGGGTCGTCCACCATTACTGAGGCACTCCACCACTACTGAGGTAGTCTGTCATTGCTGAGGCAGCCCACCATTGCTGAGGCAAACAGCCATTGTCGAGGCAACCTGCCATTAACAGAGAGAGCCCATTGTTACAGAGGTGGGCCACCATTGCCGAGGAAGTTCTAACTACATCCATATAAACAGGAATGCAGGGGAGTTCTTACAGCAGCTGGTCAGTGTCCACAGCAGCTCAGCAAAGCTTCTGCAGGCAGACAGTGACTAGGCTGCCTCCTTACTTTGCAGGGCAGCCTGAAAAAAAGGCACAATGAAACTCATAAATAAAGCTCTAACTCCCTGAGACAGAGCATCTGAGAAAAATAGGAGTTTATGAGTTCTGCTGCAGCAGACCTAAACGTACCTGCCCAGCAGCTCTAAATGAGCTGTCTCCACTCAGCACTTGAGCTCCAAAAAAGGACAGACTGTCTCCTCAAGCAGCTCCCTGACCCCTGTATATCCAAAGAGTCACCTCATGAAGGAGAGATCAGACTGACATTTGGCACGTGTCCTTCTGGGACAAAGATAGCAGAAGAAGAAACTGGTAGCAACCTTCACTGTTCTGTAGCTGCTGAAGGTGATCCCCAGGCAAACAGGGCCTGGAGTGGGCCTCAGCAGTCCTACAGCAGAGGGGCCAGACTGTTAGGAGGAAAACCAAGAAACAGAAATAACTTCATCACCAACAAACTGGACATCCACTCAGAGACCCAATCTGAAAGTCAGCAACTACAAAGATGATGGATGGATAACTACACAAAGATGGGAAGCATCTTGCAAAAATGATGAAAACACCCAAAACCAGAACACCTCTCCTCATTCAAGGGACCACAACTCCTCACCAGCAAGGTAACAAGGCTGGATGGAGAATGAGTGTGATGAAATGACAGAATCAGCCTTCAGAAGGTGGGTAATACGAAACTTCTGTGAGCTAAAAGAACATGTTCTAACTCAGGGCAAAGAGACTAAGAACGTTGAAAAAAGATTTGACAAAATGATAACGAGAATACACAACTTAGAGAGGAATATAAGTGAACTGATGGAGCTGAAAAACACAACATGATATCTTCCCNAAAAAAAAAAAAAAAAAGAAAGATAACTCATGTTCTTTGCAGGGACACGGATAAAGCTGGAAACCATCATTCTCAGCAAACAGACACAAGAACAGAAAACCAACCACCACATGTTCTCACTCATACCTGGGAGCTGAACAATGAGAACAACAAGGACACAGGGAGGGGAACATCATACACTGGGGCCTGTTGTGGGCTGGGGGACTAGGGGAGGAACAGCATTAGGAGAAATATCTAATGTAGATGATGGGGTGAAGGATGCAACAAACCACCATGGCACGGTATACCTATGTAACAAACCTGCATAATCTGCACATATACCCCAAAACTTAAAGTATAATAATAATAACACAAGAAAACAAAAAGAAAAATGAAAGCCAGCATTACACATATAGCACATGAGAGACAAAAAAATATAGTTAAGTCAGAACTATAATCAGAAGGCAAGACAAGTGGTATAACAGATTGCTTCAGTGCTCATTATCTTCAATATTTTTTTCTCATGAGACAAGAGAAACACTAGAAAAGGAAAAGAAAAAAAGGTACAAGTTAGAATTTATATAACGTATAAAATTTCAGTAAAGGGACAGAGCCTTGGAGACACCAAGTGCAATTTGCCCAGAAGAAAAAACTGAGAAAGATTTTTGCCAGGGAAGTTATGAATGCTTATAAAGCAGTCAACCCAATGCTTACAGAATTTCAAATGAGAAAAAGCACAGCATGTAGAGAGTGACCCAGTACATGTACCATGTACCCATTACTAGCTTATTCTTTAGCAAAATAAGCTGATATAATTTGATCCTAAAAGTATCCCAAACTTTGAAACCAGTGCCCCATCCCCATGTGGGTTTTGCAAATTTAAGAATTACATTCAGTAATATTAAGAGAAAACCAATTTTAGACTAGAAAGCAGATAAAAAGGCCAGGATCCCAGTTTTAATTTTTATTCTATTAAGTAACTGCATAATCTCTCTTTCACATTTTCTCTTAGGTGTCCCAGCGAACTGTACCGGTCTGCAACTTGATGTCAGCAAAAAAGACAAAGAAAGGTGTGATATTAAAGCCTAATCTTCACAGAAAAAAGCATACAGTTTATTTCCTGCAAAACTAAGTTTGTGCTCATTCCCTTTTCACCCCAGGGAAGAAAATTAAAATTGTTTTGGTTCTTGTTCCTCACTGATCCTTGATGCTTGGTACTCACTGGCACACCATGGGACATGAGAGTGTTGGGATTCATAAGGGTGACAAGTTGGTGCAGGAGGTCAGGCTGGCTATCAAATAGTTCAGGTGTCAGCTTCTTCATCACCTCTTCCAAATGTTCTGCTGCAAGTGAGGGTACCCCATACCAGGTCTTCGGCTCACCCCTGCACAAGTGGAAAAGGGACACACACAGATCACACCTTGGTCATGCAGAGAGCCCACACTGACTGATTCCCTGGCTCCCCAGGGCCCCACTCACCAGTGGAGGTAGTTAATGGAGTAACTCCAGTGATCCTCAATATGCCAACAAAATGCTGAGAAGACCATGCCCACATAAAGCCAGGGCACCTTCATGCCTGAGATGTCCGCATTGATGTGGCAGAGAACGGACTGATCTAGCACCGGCATCACATTCAGGTTCCAACCACTGGTTGCATACTCCTGGTGGGTCAGAGATTTGCCAGAGTGAGTAGGGAGTAAGATACCGTGAAGAAAGGCAAACTGAGCAACATATGCATAAAAAGACAACTATGTCTTAGAGCATGGAGCATGCTGCTTAATAGTATTCCTGGTCATTCAAAAGGCCAATGTTGTAAACTCAAAAATAATACCCTGTTTTACCATTGTCAATCAATACAGTTCTGACGTCCTAGCCAGAGCAGTGAGGCAGAAAAGGAAATTTAAAAGCATTCAAATTGGAAAAGAGGTTAATTATCCCTGTTTGAATAAAGTCCGAAAGAAAACACTTCTTTTATAAGAAGATGCTACAGCCTCCATAGAAAGGTGGTCAGAGCAAATAAAGTCAGTAAATTTGCAGGGTACAAAATCAACATAAAAATCAGTAGCATTTCCATATTAATAGAAATTTATCTAAAAGCTAAAAATAAAAACTACTTATAACAGCTGAAAAAAAAACCTAGTAATACTTTATATAAGGTTAAAAAAAATCACTACACTGAAAACTACAAAGATCATGATGAAAGAAACTGAAGAAGATGCAAATAAATTTTAAGATACCTTGTGTTCACAGACTAGAAGAATTAATATTGCTAAAATGTCCATAATATCCAAACTCATCTAGATATTCAATTTAATGTCTTGTCAAAATAAGAATAGCATCTTCACAAAAAGTTTAGAAAAACCAACCCTTTAATTAATATGGAACCCCAAAGACTCAAAATGTCCAAAGCGACATATGAGACAAACAAAAATGAAAGAAAAAGCTGAAAGTATTCACACTAATTTCATACTATACCACAAAGTTATAGTAACCAAAACAGCTTAGTAGTGCCATTTAAAAAAAAAATGCATAGACCAATTAAAAATAATAGCCCAGAAATAAATGTCTGCATTTTCAGCCAACAGACGTTCAACAAAGATACCAAGAAAACACACAAAGGAAAGTCTCTTCAACATATAATGTTGGAAAAACTCACTATCTATATGCAGAAGAAAGAAACTTTATCTGTGTCTTTCACCATGTACAAAAACCAACCCCAAATGACATAAAAAAATCCAAAACTATGACATTACTAAAAGAAGACATGGGGGAAAGCTCCATGACATTCATCTAGGCAAGAAATTTCTGGTTAAGACCTCAAAAGTGCAAGCCACAAATGCTAAAACAGACAGTATCACATTAAGCTACAAAGCTTTTGCACAATGAAGGAGGCATCAACACAATATGGAAACCACCTACAGGATGGAAAACCATATTTGCAAACCACGCATCTGTTAAGAGGTTAGAAAAAACATGATACGAGAAAAAAAATATATAAAGAGAATGGAATATCTTGAAATACAGCTAACCAAGGAGGTGAAAAATCTCTACAAGAAAATCCAGAAAACACTGCTAAAAAAGATTAGAGATAACACAGGAAAACCATCTCAGCCTCATAAATTGGAAGAAGAAATATCACAAAAATAGCCACACCACCCAAAGCAATTTACAGATTCAACGCTATTTCAATCAAACTACCAACATCATTCTTCACAGAACTTGAAACAAAAAATTTCTAAAGTTTACCCATAGCCTTAAAAAAAACCACAACTAAGCAAAGCCAACATAAGCCAAAAGACAAACATGCAAATATCACAACACACAATTGCAATCTATAACATGAAGGGACAGTGACCAAAACAGCATGCTACTATAACAAAGTCAGACAAAAAGATCAATTGAACAGAACAGAAAACTCTGAAAAAAAGTCAGACACTTACTACCACCTGTGATTTGACAAGGTCCACATAAATAAACAACAGGAACGGGCTTCCTAGATACTGGAGTAACTAGCTAGCCATATGCTGAAGACTGAATCTGGACACCTACATTTCACCAGGTGCAAAAATTAACTCTGGGTCCAGGTATGGTGGCTTACACCTTTAACCCCAACACTTTGGGAGGCCAAGGTAAGAGGACTGCTTAAGCCCAGAAGTTTGAGACCAGCCTGGGCAACAGAGTGAGCTTTGTCTCTACAAAAAAATTTTAAGGAATATTAGCCAATTGTAATAGCTACTAACATACAAAACAGTGGTTTTGTAAAAATTTCTTATTTTATAAAATTTTTGTGAGCTCCTAGTTACTAGGGCGACAAAAATGTGAGGGTTGTTTGATCCACAAAGTTCTAGACTGCAGTGAGGTGAGTCATGATCATATGACTGCATGCTAGCACATATGTAACACAGAGGAATGGTGTCTCAAAAGAAATTAACTTGGGATGGACCTAAGATTTAAATGTCAAACCTCAAACTACAGTATTTCTGGGGAAACAGTCTTCTCAACAGTGGCCTTCACAAATTATTTTTGGCTACGCCCCCAGAAGCAAATGCAACAAAAGTAGTTAAGTGGAACCTAATTAAAAGCAAGAGAGCTTCTGCACAGCAAAAGAAACTGTCAACAGAGCAAACAACCTACAGAATGGAAAAGATATTGCTATACATCTGATAAAGGTCTAATATGCACAATCTACAGAAAATATACAAATCAACAAGGAAAAACAAATCACCCATTAAAAATGGGCAAAGGATGTCAATAGAGACTTCTCTAAAGAAAATATACAAGTGTCCAACAAGGTCCACACTCAAATTAAAAAATCATGTCATTTACAAGGACATGGATGGAGCTGGAGGCCATTATCCTCAGCAAAGTAACACAGCAACAGAAAACCAAATACTGTATTTTCTCTAAGTAGAAGCTAAATGATTAGAGAACATATAGACACACAGGGCAGAACAACATTCACTGGGGATTTTCGGAGGGTGGAAGGTAGGAAGAGTGAGAGGATCAGGAAAAAATAACTAATGGGTACTAGGCTTAATACCTGATGATAACATAATCTGTAGAACAAATTCCTGTGACAAAAGTTTACCTATGTAACAAACCTACACTTTTACCTTTGAACTTAAAAGTTAAACAACACACACACACACACATACAGACACACACTCCTCATCATTAATCATTAGGAAAATGCAATAAAATCATGATGAGATACCATGTCATCCCTCATAGAGTGGCTAATATTAAAAAGTCCAAAGACAATAGATGATGGTCAATCTGCAGAGAAACGGGGATAAAAATATTTTCATCCACTGCAGAAAGCAGTTTGGAGATTTCTCAAAGAACTCAGAACAGAACCCCATTTGATCCAGCAATCCCATTAGTGGGTGAATACATCAAAAGAAAAATAAATCATTTTTCCAAAAAGATACATACATGCACTTACTTCTAGGTTCACTGCTGCACTATCTGCAAAGACGTGAAATCAATCCAGCTGGTCATTAGTGGCAGTCTGCCACATACACACCATGCAATACCATGTAGCCATAAAAAATACAAAATAAAATCATACACTTTGCAGCAATACAAATGCAGCTGACGGCCATAATCCTAAGAAAATTGAGGCAGGAACAGAAAATCAAACACCACATGTTCTCCTACTTCTAAATGCAAGCTAAACATTGTAGATACCCAGAAACAAACATGTAAACAACAGACACACTGTGCGTTAGTGTAGAGCGGAGCAAACAGGGGACTGTGGACAGAAAATATACCTATTGTGTACTGTGCTATCCACCTAAGGAAAGAATCTATACTCTGAAACTTGACCTCAAACAATATCCTCACATAACAAGCCTGCATATTATTCTCCCTGTAGCTAACATAAAAGCTGAGGTTTTTTCAGGGCATAATGTTTCCATATTTGTCCCAGGCCAGATCGCATGTTAAATTTTAAGCCCCTACACTAAACATGGAGCCTGTCGGGAGGTTTTTGTGTCACGTGGGCTGATCCCTAATGGCGTGTTGCTGTCTTTGTGATAGTGACTGAGTTCTAGTGAGATCTGGTTGTTGTAAAGTGTGGCAACTTTTCCCTGAACTCTCTCTCACTCCCATGCTTATCATATGAGACATCTGCTCCCCCTTCACTTTCCACTCTGAGTTGAAGCTTTCTGAGATCTCCCAGAAGCAGGTTTCAGCACTGTGCTTTCTGCATAGCTTGTAGAAACATGAGCCAACTAAACCTCCTTTTCTAATAAATTACCCAGTCATCTCTGCATAGCAATGCAATAATGGCCTAACACATGGCAGACTATCTGAAAAGACATTTTTCCAGAAAACTTATAATAATACCAAATAGACACATGAAAAATGTGCTCAATGATCAGGGAAATGCAAACCAATGAGAAATCAACTTAGCCTAATGAGAATGTTCGCTCACAGATGAACGAATAAGGAAAACATGATACATAAACAAAATGGAACACTATTGTTCTGCCATAAAATTAATGAAATCTTGTTGTTTCCAACAACGTAAGTAAACACGGAAGACATTACCTGAAATAAATCAGGCACAGAAATTCCAATACAATATGATGTCACTCAGATATGGTATCTAAAATGGATATATTCACTAATATATATTTAGTAGTTTCAGACAAAATAGACCTTAAGAAAAAATTACAAAAGTCTAAGATGACACTATCTATTAACAAAAGTTGTCAATCCATTAAGAAGTTATAACAATTACACATATACACCAGTAAACTAGCCCCAATAAATGAAGCAAAAATTGTGACAGAAATGAAAGCAGAATCAGATGGTTGTACAACAGTAATAGTACTGTCAATATAGTGCTTCAATAACATCACTATAGCTCACTTTACTCAATCCACCAGAGCAGAAATGTATAAGAAAATCAGAAACTTGAACAGAATAAAGAAATTAGACCCAGGAGACATAAACAGACTACTGCATGCAGTAACAGCAGAACTCACATTGTACTCAAGTATAAACAGAACACGCTGCAGGATAGGACATATTGTTAGGCCACAAAAAAAGTATGAATCATTTTTTTTTAAATTCAAATCGTAAAATCTTCTTTCACCACAATACATTCAAACTAGAAATCAGTATTAAAGAAAAAACACAAATATTTGAGTAT